CAACTGATATGCACATTTGTTCTTCATTGCGACTGTGGACACTGAATCTCTCAAATTACCTCTTTAATACGAGTTTTCAAGTAGCTTCTCAATTAGAAAACGAGCTCAGGCAGGTGGGACGCCTCTTCTTACACAATTATTCTCATTTTTCGGTCTATTCCACAATAAAATATTACCATTTGCGTTTGTCTTTTTAATGGAAAATCGAAAAAACAATACTCAAAAATATTAAGTTGTCTGAAGATAAAGCATTTGCGTTAATGATGTTATTTGCACCCGATAAAATAGTTTTCGATTTTGAAACTCGTCTAGTACCAGGAATTCAAGACGAGTTTCCATTATCGGAGATACTGGATGTAATTTCCATTTCAATCAGGCCTTATATCGTAATCTTCAAAATTTCGGTTTGCAACAAGCGTATGTGGATGAACGATGAAGCTGTTCGAAAATATTGTAAGCTGCATTGTTTTTCCTCGTGCTTGATTACTCTTCAATAGTATGTTTTCTGAAATAGTTCGTATGATATCAGGCATCCCATTTCTACCAACACATTTAGTACAATCGGCCTATGATGAAGTAGTTGATTCGACACCATTGCGTATACGACATAAAACGCAACCGTTTTATCATTATTTTTCAAACATGTGGTTAAATGGACAGTATGTTATTGAAGTATGGAATGTTTATGGTCAAGATAGACGAACAATAATGATGTTGAATCATGGCATTCTAAGTTGTCATGTATTACAAACACAACCGACTGTATGGAGATTGATTGAAACACTTAAAGCACAATACGTCTTAGTTCAATATGATAATGAACGTTTACGTTCCGGAACATATAAAGGTCGAAAAATTTAAAATATCAATAACTGAACAGAACAGTACAATGTATAACAGATAATTTTAATCTAGGTCTAACCCAACCGTCAGATTTTGTTTTAGCAATTGGAAGATGTTTTGCTGCTGCTAAACGTGCTTAACAGCATTTGAAACTGCATTATCAAAATAATGCTCACAAGTTTTTGATGTTAAAATAAAAGATTACTAACCACTGAGAATTAATCTGAAACAGTGGTGACGGAAACAATTCAAATGTTTCAAAATATTTTGAGGAATGAGTTGTGTAATTGAAAATGCACCCAAATAAGACACACTAAAATGAGAATGCGCTCAAATGAGAACGCACTCAGATAAGACGCAGTCAAATGAAGCCCCACCCACAGGCGCATGATATGAAAATTATTAGTTTTTGTTTCTAACAAATTTGTAAATAAAAACGATAAAGATTGTGAATCTAGACGCTTTGAACTGGCCTAGTAGTGGAGAAATTTCTTAGTTTAGACTTATACTCTCGTAGAAATAGACCCAGTTTCCAAACTAAGTGGTTTTCCACACAGCTCTGATCAGTATAATGAGGTTTACAAATTTTCTCAACTTTAAACTGATTCAGAATTTGCGCACATGTTCGCCTAACTATCCTGCGCCAATGAAGATAGGGTAAATTAGCATAAACGTCCCTGCACTGCGCTACAGGTTTTCCAAGAACCTTCGATTTTTCATTTAAAATCTGCTTTTCTCAGGCCAAGAACACTCTAAGAAAAAAATAAGATCATATTCGGTACGACGCATTGAATTACATCGAATCACATATAACATAATAATTTTTGGATCGAATCTATCGAAATTTTTTCTCATAGATGACTAAGCGAATGATTTATCAAAATTACTGGACGCCCAATAATTCTGATCGATGATTCACTATTTTTAGTCGAACAGAGCAGAGTTTGTCTTATCTAAGCTAACTAATATTTGACTCCGTAAATGGATGCTTGTTACATCCAGGCTTCATAATAGCAAAAATCAAAAAGTAGGAGTAGGAGTAGAATTTTGAAGTTCGTTATAGTAGGATTTATATCAAAAAGTAGGTAAAGTAGTTTTTAGCGTTTAAGAGAAGCTCCGCCACAGCACCGACCATGCTGTCCGGGGAATATTTTATTTTATTTTTATTTATGTCTCATTCGAAGAAAATACGTGAATTTTTACAAATTTTCGTATTTTCCGATTTTTTGAAAACTATCAAACTCCTACGATTCGTTTATGGCTCATTTGAAAGAGAAATATTTACTCTATGAGATCATATATTCAGACATAATAATATGTTTAACTATCTAGGACTAAATAATAGAAAACTAAGTTATTCCATATTTGTAAATTTGCATTTTTCTCAATACTTTTTAAATATAAGCCATGCATATGGCGGTCCCAAAATAAATCTTACTTCATTTTGTAGAGCAGGCAATTCTGTATCGATTTATATGTAATAGAACATTTTAAAACACTAGGATGATGTACTATAAATCAAATATTCGCGATAGGCATAGATTTCATCGTTTTCTCACTTTTCTAAATTTTTCTACAAATCCCAAACATCTGGATATACAAACTGTTTTTGAGTCATTATAGATCTAGAGCAAACATTTTTCTACAAAATGAGACGTCGGCGAGCTCTGCACAATGTCTTTTTATGATTTTACACACACTTTATGACAAGCACTGTATTTGAGACCCGTCTCCCACTTTTTTCTCTTCGGTTTTGATCCGTTGACCAAATGCAATAATTTACATATGGTTGAATAGAGCATTGAAAGTTACATCTAGTGGCATGCTTTTTTATCTTCATTAGCTCATATTAGTGGAGAAAAAAAATATTTAATTTTGTGAAAATGGCTGGAAAATGGGTATTATGTATGGGAAAAGACATTTTTCTCCTACTTTCACAAGTGAACCTGTTTTAGTTTTGCGTTTAAAAACTGCATATGACTCAATGCTAGCTACTCATGTCAAAACTTGCTATAAATTCTTTTCTCCTAACCGTTTAAAACAAATCTTTTTAAAAACAAAGTTAGACAAGTCCATGAAAGGTACCCTGAGTGGATTTATATATGATTTTTAGACGGTTAGAAGAAAAGAATTTATAGCAAGTTTTGACATGAGTAGCCAGCATTGAGTCATATGCAGTTTTTAAACGCAAAACTAAAAAAGTTCATTAGTGAAAAGTAGGAGAAACGTGTCTTTTTGCTTGTGAATTTACTAAAACCACAGAAAATTAAAAAAGAAGGAAAAGTAGGAGAAAATCCAAAAAGGAGGACATAGTAGGACGATTTTATAGAAAAGTAGAAAAATTAGGATGTTTACGAAGCCTGTAACATCTCTTAATCAGTCGAAAATTGTATTTCACACTTGAAGGACTTTGAAATTTTTCGTATTTTGACCACTGAAAAGAATAAAAAATATTGAATTTCATGTTACTGACCGAGAGAAAACGCTCCATCTCTCTCCTAAAAAGTTCACCATCTCTCACAATACGTACCGTTGTATTGGCGAATTGACTCTGCTCATATTCCTTCTAAAATAAACAAAATTAATCAAATTACAGTTAATATCTAGTGCATATTACCGAAAGAGAAACAGAAGAAGAAGAACAAACGAACAAAGTATTTTTTTTACACAAAAAAAATAAATAAAACGTAACAAGTGCACAAAACATAAACATTGGTATTACATAAAATTTCTTATCTACCACTTGTTGTGTTTAAACAATTTTTGAAATTGGCTGGACATGGTGTGGAATAAAGAAATCTAATTCATCTTCAAATTACCACTGTATACATAATTTCACTGCTTTGTTATAATCATTGATTGTTTTCTTATCGTCTAACTACTGTAAAGCATCGACACAAAAAAAATTATTACACAAACTAACGGATGGCCTAAAAGGAATTATAGTCTCAGTATTTGTCAAATTTTCTCCTCCTTCTTACACTTCATTGAACTAATTCTTTCATCAAACGATTTCCCGTTGAATTCTCTACAAAAAAATGTATTGACTGCTTTATTGTAAAATCGAAAGGTAAAATTAATGACATGAAAGATTGTGAGAAGTATCAAAATAGAGAAAAAAATAATCAATAAAAAATCACCATTTTGTTTGAAAATTGGCAAAAAATAATAAAATTCTTATGCCCTCAATTCCACCTGGAAAGTTTTTTAATTATAGGTGGAAAATAGAGCTTTTCAAGGCCTACACGATGACTAATTCAGTTTTTCTTTTTCACAAACTTTGAGCAAATAATATTAGAAAAAGCTGTTTTTTAACTTATCCTTTTTCCATTTTGGTACTTCTCACAATCTTTCATGTCATATTTCACCTTCGGATTTAACAATAAAACAGTTGATACATTTTTTGTACAGAATTCAACGAGGAATCTTTTGTTAACAAAATTAGCCTAATGAAGTGTAAGGAGCAGGAAAAAATTTGAAAATACTGAGACTATAATTTTTTTTTGGGGCCACCCGTTAGTAATTCATCTATAGATTTACTTGAATGATTTGTCCAAGAACAACTCATGCAATCATCTAGTAAATGAATTAAATACAAACAATATTGTTTCTGACAAACAATTTACTAAAAGATAACTGCTTTCTAGTGTATTGATCTTTTATCTTCTGACAACTTCTGACAATATCATGAATCATCTTCTTTCGTGTAATGAATAAACATTTCTTAATTAGATTCTCAGCACTACTTTACTCTTTTTGTGTTTTAAACTGAGCAAAAGTAGGACGCTGAAAATTAGAATGTAATAGTCAGCAGGTCAATACTCCAACAATTTATTTATCCAACCTGTTCAACAAAAAAACGATATGAATCAGCAGTCAATGGAAGTACAACACAATAGACAACTAACCCGAATCAAATAAAACATTATAACATCCTACTCCATAAGATACTCAAATCAACACAATTTATTTGACTAACAACATTCTAATAAACTTGTTCATATAGATATGAATGAAAATTAGTATTATGACAATGTTTTTGCTCTGAAATTGTTTATCTTTTCTGTTATCATTATAAATTCTCAAATAGCATATCACATACTAAAAAGAATATGTTATCAACTATATTTTAGATAAAGTTAAATTATTCCCTGAAAAACAAATAAAAATATCACTAAAATTTATCGTATTTGAAAAATCTGTCAATAGTATTAAGCGACATCTCTCCAGAAACACCAAAATTTTTCGTTTTCATTCAAAATCAAAAAAGACCACAATAATCGAACAAAGAGATGAATAGATGCTACTATTATAAGCGATGAATAAGTTTCCACCTACACACAAACAAGTTTGGGATGAGGAGTCATCAAAAAATTTATTATTACTGAGCTCGGTAAATATAATTTCCATTGTGAACGATACTAAATATGGAAGTTCTATATGGAATTAAATAACAATTGAAGAGCATAGTTATTCAGGTAAGATAAACAAATCCTATTATAGACGAATTATCATTTTAGGATGCTTTAATAGACTTTTACAACAGTTTATCTACTTAAAATAAACGCAAAGGTTTCTAGAAAAAGCTTTTGAGTGGTACTATACTTTGAATAAATCTCTATTCGATTTTAGAAAAAACACAGATACTAATACCTTATTTTAAAATCAAAGAATCTGACTAATGCATAATCGACTATGTTATCTTATTTGAATACAGACGATTTTATCCGTCTTATTTTTGGTAATAGAGACAGTCATTAGACTGTGTTTACTTATAAACTTCTGTTCAATTATGTCCGTTCTTTCCAACAATTGAACAGCTTTTTACAGATTTATAGATTATTGCCATCTGCAAAACAAGAACAGTAACTTTTTTCTCATTCTGTAGATGTTAAAAACGAGGCCTTTTCTGCCGTCTTACTATATTATTGACCGAAGTGTCCAGTTTAAAATAGAATAGTAAGACAGATATAATCTAGGACAATTTTTAAGTGAAACAAAAGCTTTTCCAATTCAAATCTACTGTTTTATTTTATTTTTATGTTCAGAAATGATCTGAACTGTTTATTTCTCAAAAAAAAACAAAAAACAAACACAAACTGTTCATAATAAACTAATGGAGATTATAAAGAGAGTATTAGTCTTATTATTTCTTCTTTTTCTATCAATTCCACTCAAACGTAGTATACCCCAGTGCAGAGCTGGAACCGGTTGAAAAAGTCAACCGGATCGGTATTTCACCGATTGCAACTTTTGAAAAATCTGCTCCTTTGACGCTGTTTTTCGTCAAAAAGCTAAAATTTCATGTCTTTCTCAATCAGAATAAATAAGACGATGCTCAAGCCAACTAAAAAAAAGTAAAGGGGGACGTAGGATGACTGTTTTTCTAAGAAATGGGAGCAACACAAAACACATTATCTGTCGTGCGATGTCATTGAGAAAATTAAAAGTAGGTGGCATTTTTTATTCTGGTTTTTCTAATATTACTATGTCAAAACATAAAATTTAATGCAACTATCTTTTGTCGCACAAAAAGCACTAAATGGTCACTTCAGACGTTACTTTTTACTAATGTGTTCATAGTTTCATTCCACGAACGATCTTACTAGGGATGTCTTTGTTATCCAAAATCATAGATCATAATCATAATCATGAAAATTATTGCACGTTAAATTTGTATTCATTCTAATTTTTGTGATTCATACTCTTATTGTTTACAAAGTTAACGATTTAGTTGAAAGGTCTTTGAACTTTTTTTTTCTCGTATTTATTAATAAATATCTACGTAACTAAACGTTTCGATATGACATATCGAAACGTTTAATTAATATACATTTATCAATAAATACGAAGAGAAAAAAGTTCAAAGACCTTTCAACTAAATTCTAATTTTCAATTCTGCGTTTAGTGCTTTTTCTTATGTAAAATCTCATATAAGAAAAATTACTAAACGTTAAAGATCTGTTAAACTGGAAGCGTAGCACAAAAGTGAAAAGTCCATCGAAGACGGTCAAAAGAAAATATCCTTGAAAAGGGAGACAGATTTTCGCGGAGACAAATCTCTAAATGTGGAATTGTCCCTCTTGTGGGGGAACATCTGGCAACCCTGCTCAAGACATATTATTTTCATCACTTGTTTTATGGGTAAATGTTATAGACTCGTTATTGTAAAGGTTCTCTCACATTTGCTCGCAAACTATCTCATTTCGGGCGGAGATTCTGTCTAAAAGTCGATTTTCAAAAAACTTTGCCAGGTTTTCGCCGGTAGTTTACCGATTTTTCACCGTTTTGAGGTATAATTCAATCAGTCAGTTTACCAACCGGACTGATCCGGTTTATCACTTCTCAACCGGTTCCAGTTCTGCTCCAGTGAATGTACTTGTATACAAATGATTGTCCAAGTACTTTGGCAAGTTCTGTCCAATGGTCCTAGGATTTTATCACAAGGAAATCAAGTATTGGACAAGAACTTTCAGGCACTTTGACAAGCAATTATCAAGTGGCATTTTGCGATAATACTTGTCAAATGTTTGCCATTCATAGAAATTCATAAGTAAACATATACGCGTTCGTTAGTACATTCACTGGAATAAATTTCAGAAATATATAATGGGAACAAATCTTCAAAAAGAAACGACTGGCAGTCCCAGACAGATAGAAATAAAACACAAATAGTATAAAATGAATGGCTTTTGAGTGTTGAGTACCTATAATCTTCAAAGTCCTTATTTCAATTGTTTTTTCTACAGGATTTTCATATTTCTAAAGGCAACTTAGAAGCTAGACAATTTCACGAATTACTCAGGTTTATTCACATCTAAAACATTTTGTATCTGGAGCCATCATGTTATGAAACTGAGATAATTATCTATATCAAAGATGAGATGTATCTATAAAGCGGATGTGGCGAGCTACAGTTTTATGATTCCAATGGCATAGATGTGCATGACCACGCCCTTGCTATATTTCACAATATTCAGTCATCTTATATCTTTGTGAGAAATCACTAAATCTAATCAAAATGGCAATTGAATTTCTTATTCTCAAAATTTTGCTCTTATAAAACCGTTTTTTTCTAAATGAGAGATCAAGATGATCAAATGATCATCTACAGCACACTGAGATCAGATCGTTCAGTCTCTCTTCACCTCTCAAATGGTTAGAAATGATATATACTATGTCGAAGAAAAAGAACTACAGAATAACAGACATTGTTCCTCAAAAATATATAAATAGTTCATGTTCAACTCTAACAGATTCTGTCTATAATGAAAAAGCGATAGATTCTATATTCTATAAAAAAAATATGAGTAACACGCAACGATCTCACAAAAAAGTTTTTTGTGAAGAAAAGAAAGAAACGTTCACCAGGAACAAAACGAAGCACGTCAAAATAGTCAATTTGATGAATACAAAAGTGCGATATGATTCAAAGTGTCAAATAATTTGAACAACAAATAATCGATTGATGTCACGGCGACCTCTTCGGAAAATTCAATGATATATCAATATATTCTGATTGATCAATATATTTCTTATCAATATATCAATATATCTCCCCAGAAATGTAGTCAGTATTGATCAAAACACTGTTAATCATAACCTGACAGTAACTATCTTATATTCTTTCCTTTCGTCCTGCTATCTTAAACTGATATTGTCATCATGTGAGAGATTTCTTCTAACATTTCATTAAAGGACATGTGTCTGATTACTAATTAAAACAGTGGCGTCTCCTCGTAACAACTTTTAGACAGTATACATGCTATCCAGTTGTATATTCAAATTTTCGCTATTAATCGACTGTATACAGAAAATTTGATTTATCAATATTTACGAAAAACTTTCAGTTTATTTGAAAGTTCATCACATTCTTGTTTGAACTTTCCAACTATGTAATATATCAAATAGTTACAACAGTTTCTCTTCTAAAAGTCTTCTGCGTTCAACTATTACAATTCAATCGTCAATTTAATAACAACAATCAAACTAAATGGTTTCTAGCAATCAGTATCGAGACACAATAATATACTGTAAAAATCTTCAATATCGTTCGCTTTCCATTTTCGTTTAGTATATCAACTTTTTCGATTTCACTCTAAACAAATAGGAAACTGAAATTATTAACAACAGTTGTTAATTGTTCAATCAATTTTGTACTAAAAGAAAAATCCTGGAGTAAACATGTTATTGTTTCTCTATCGTATATTATATCATCATATTATAGTTAAACAAAAAATACTAATATATCTAAAGATATTTTTGTTTTCGAATCATTTAGCGAAATCAGAACCTTCGTTTCGTTTTTCAATTTATCTTTCGAACAGTACAAGTAATTTAAAATGAAAAAAGAAAAAAAAATAACCCAAACATAAAAAAAAAAAAGAATCGAAAAGAGATAAACAACACAGTAATACTTACACACATATTTAAAACTACAAACAAATCAACAAGAAAAGAAAATGTGCTGGATTTTAAGATAGAAAAGAAACAAATCATGCATCTTGATTTATTTCTTTGTTTTATTAATAATGCAATTTTACAGCGTTTAATAAAATAAACAAAAATCATTACATAAACGCTTTTCATACAGAACAAATAAAACAAAATACGTATACATACACAATGTCTTTGAAGAACAAAAAAAGCGTATATATTACTAATATATATTTAGACATTAGAAAATTAAGAAAAAGAAGATAAAAGAAGAAAGAAAGAAACATACCAGTAGGATCGGCGGTAAAAAATAACATCATTTTCTGTGTATTAATCATCATCTCATTTAAGATGATGGTTAAATGATAAAAGTAACCAGTACTAAGCAACGACTAAAGAAACAATCAAAAGAATATCTCATTATTCAACTACTAATAAAGTGAAATAAATACCTTAATGCTTGTTTCTTTCATGTTTCACGTTAAATTATTTCAGAAAATCATTATTAACAATATTGCATTTATAACAAGTATCAGATGCTAGTAATTAAGAAAAAGCAATAGATTGATTGAGAAACAAAACACTTAGCTGTTTCAGAAATATTGCACTTACTTTTGAAGATGAAGCAGTGACTGTTGACGTACTGGATGATGATATTGTCTTAAAATAAAAAGCAAAGGTTTAAAAAGCTTTTTGAGCAGTTTTAGTGTAAATAAGAAATTTCTTTACAATCATCTTAATTTTGAAGTCAAAAAGATTTGAAAAAGATATCATATAACTCACCCAAAATGTTGTGCTTCTAAAATATTGCTACTCTCACATTTTTCGTTGGTATATTTCATTTTTTTATTTACATTTTCACTGGTTGGATAATTTCTAAGATATTCAAATAAATAGAATTTCAGACAGATGATCTCATAAAATACAAACGTACTTTCGACGTTCCAAAATATAACGAGCTATATCTTCAGCTGTATTCACGTTACCAACACGATCCCAAAGACCAGTCTCATGAAACTAGAAAATACAAGGGAAAAATATTAGAAATATGATTATCATCGTTTAATTACTATCTATTTCAAAATATAGTGGACTCCGATGTTTTTTCAATAATGTTTGAACGGAAACAGTTAGTGAGCTGCGGTTTTCAGTTTTATAAACTAGACATCGAGGCACATAGATCTATGAAATAATCAAGATTCGAGAACAGGTCTACCGTTGTATATCTTTCGACTGAAAAAGTCTGAGTTTGCCATGCTAAAAATCTAAACAGTAAGATACTGATCTAAATTCATGTGGATATAGAATACATGTCTCTCTACAACCTGGCGCCAGTTTCAGACCTCCATCTATCATGGTTCAGAGGCTATAGATAATCTTCGGTGATCTACCTACCTATCAGCTAAAGCTGAAGGCTAGAAATCCTAAAAATACGTGAAACATAGGTTTTCGGACACGGGAAATCTCGTGGCGATGTTTGTTTTATTGTCTCGGAAACTTGAAACATAATTTTTTCATTATACTAAAATGAAAATCTTCTGACATCTGCATTTCGCAACTAAATTGTTGCACTTTCAAAATCCACTCAGTTTTGTCTGCTGTACAGTTTAGAGAGGTCCGAATTAATTCTCATACTGCGATCTTGCTTCAACCTCTTCAGAGGTTGTCTGAAAAACCTCTCATAGATCAGTTTTGTTTTTAGTACTTCCGATCGTGCGGTCGGTTACAACGCCTTCTCTTATACTCGCTTTCCAAGTTTGTAGCAATTTAATTGCGAAATGTAGGTTCTAGAAGGTTTTCATTTTAGTAAGATAACAGCAGAAAAATCGAGTTTTCTCACAAAATTATGTTTCAAAGTTTCTGTGGTCCGGACAACAAAACAAACATCGCCACGAGATTTCCTGTGTCCGAAAACCTATGTTTCACGTATTTTTAGGGCGTCTAGACTTCAGATTTAGTCGATAGATAAGTCACCGGAGATTGTCTGTAGCCTCTGAACTATGGTAGATGGAGACCTGACACTTGCGTCAGATTGTAGAGAGACATGTGTTCTATATCCACATGAGTTTAGATCAGTATCTTACTATTTAGATTTTTAGCATGGCAAGTTCGGTCTTTTTCTCTCGAAAGGCACACCATAGTAGATCTGTTCTCAAAGCTTGATTATATGATAGATCCATGTGTTGCAGTATCTAGTTTATAAAATTAAAATGGCAGCTCGCTAGCTCTTTCCGTTCAAACGTTATTAAAAAAACATCGGAGTCCACTATATTTTGAAATAGATAGTAGTAGATCACTTACATTTTGATGATGAATTCGAACAAGTTTTTTGGACGCTATGTACAAACAATTGGATTCTTTACACTAAAAAGACGTAAAGAAATGAAGTTAATAAGAATTAAAAATTAATATAGCAGATTTTTAATCTACCTTGACGTGTGATTGCACATGTTTCTGATATGAATCCTGACTTAAAAAACCAATACCACAAATATCACAGCGAAAAAGAAATTTTGTTATATCATCTCCCAAATTATCATTACCATTAATAATTGAATATTGTTGTTGAGAATCGTCATTATCACTTATTTGACCTTCTTCGTAAGTAGCCAAATCAGAACAACCAGGATCGCTATCCTAAAATAGAAAAAAAAATAAATCAAATTAGTGAATAATAATAAAATATAAAGAAAAAACGAGTAGTAGAAATATTACAATCAAATGTTTTCGGTAGATATTCTTCTTACCTTACTTTTCGAATTTTGATACGCATGAAAATACACAATAACAACAGTACAGAGTTATCTGAAACAAGTGTTTTATTTCTTTCAATCATAAAGGGTAACGACTATTGAACCAAATACAGTAGCGATTAAAAGTTGCCTAGTCGAGAGTAAACAATATGACTCATTTAACATTATTTCTGTTAATAAATTAATAAAAATAGTGACCTATTAAATCTAACTTCATTAGAACTGATATGATCGAAAAAATAGTAGCAAAACTATTTGAATAATAGAAAAATCTTAAACATGGTATTATATCCCAATCGTCAGTCGCATGAACTTTTTCAGAAGAAAAACTATTGATACATTTTTTGCAACTTTAGTAAAATAATGATTTGATTTCTAGACTATCACATTACAAGAAAAAGTAGAGTATTGTTACTATGCATAGAATATCGTACTTCTCTTATACTCTTCCCCCATTCAAAAGAAGAAAACACAACAGTTTTAAACATGAGTTGATACAGAAATATATCCGTTTATTAATGGATAATACAATCACAAAATATTTAAATTCATAGAAACTAATTGCTAAGGCATAATTAATTTCAATTTCAGAATAAATGACAAAGTGAAGTAATATGATTTTTAAAATACTTACAAGATAATAGTCATAATCATCGTTCAAATGGTTACTCTGTGATTGTTGTAGATTATTTTCGTTATCATTTTTTTCTTCTACAATCGATTCGAAAACTGAACTTGAATCATGGTTTTTTATTAATGGCTCATTGTTATTAATGTTTCCCACTGTAGATGAAGACGAAAATGAAAATGAACGATTTGTTTGTTTTTGTTTTGCATTTCTATATGAAAAACAGCGATTTTGCTGTTGTTGTTGATTTGTGGATAAACGTGAATTAGGACGAGAATAAGGTGATGAAGCACATTGCATAAATGCCAATGATGAATTATAAGGAGTTGATAATTGTTGTTGTGGTGGGGATACTGGAACAACTTGTTTTGTTTGTGAAATCTGATAAGAATTATCTAGTGATTGTATATGATTCGAATGTTGTTGCGAATCAATATGTGGTAATCGCGGAGGTGGTAACGAAAGTCTTGACATTTGTGAAGGTAATATTCGATCTTGTTGAGGTGGCGGAAAAAAGTGAGAGTTGGGTAATAGAGGACGATTAAAAAATGAAACAGGAGGTGGAGGTAGAATAAGATGATTATTTGTTGAATTTGTTGTTGGCGCCATTGGAGGAGAGATGAATGGAGGTTGACGATTATATGGCGTAGGCATAGTGAGTTGTGAACGATATGCCATGTTAGGGGAATTTATTAATGGTAGGTACGGTAAACTTGTTGATCCCATCTCACTGTTGTTAAAATGATGATTTTGTTGTTTGTTATTATCATGATGTGAGTTAATCGGCGGATGACCAATTGGTGGGTAAAAGTTACTGTTCGTTGAATGAAATGGAGGCGGTGGTTCCATCGGTAATGGAGGAGGAGTGCTCGAAGGTAATGGTGGTTGAGTATTACCGCCAAAAACTTTGTTTAAAATATGTCTTAATTCTGTTGGATTTGATAATAATTCATTAACTTGATCTAAACGCGGTAATGAGGCTTGTGTTGGCGGCATGAATGATGTTCCACTTGACGAATAGTCTTTCGAAGGAAGAAACAATTGATGATCACTATTGTTGTTCGCACCTGTAGGATAAGAAAGTGATGGTGCTACTTGTGATAGGTGTTTCTAAAAGAAAAAGATAAACGCAAAATGTAGAAGTAAACAGTGATGAAGAGAATTAATCGATAAATTATATTTACCTGATACTGATATTCACCGGTATGAGACTGATTGTGTGTTTCACTGTTGTTGCATTGACGAGATTCGTGCTGTTGTTGATAAGAATGTTCTTTGTGATGTGACATTTTTTCATGCATTAAATTTAAAAGTTTTTGAGCTTCGTTTGTTTGACCTTGTTGATTTAAACTTATTGCGTGTTCAATAGCTCCTTTAAAATCGAATTCTTCACGTATTTCGCCATTATTTAGTGTTGTTGACATTGATGAGTGAGTATCATATGAAGAGAAATGTTTACTATTTGAGAATGATTGTTGCGGTGTTGTTGGTATCGATGAGGAGCTTCCAGTCGATAATGTAGGTGATAATAAAGCTGCTGCTGTTGTTGCATCTTCATGCCCATTATTAGCTTCATTCAACCTTTTTTTTACATTCACAGCTGCTTGTGTCATTGCTCTTACAATTTGTTGAGTTGCTGGATCTAAATCTGGATTACTTAATAATTTTCTCGCTGTTTCGGCAAATTCTTTCGCTTTTGGACCAGCATTATTAAGAAGCAATGGATCTTCTATTGTATTCTGAATTAATTGTTGTTGTTGTTTAATAGATATTGGATTTGGAGACGATAAACTACTGCTTGGTGGAGTTGATTGAGAATTATAATGTGGACGTTGATGTCGATGGTTTGAATTACTCCGTTGGCGTTTTGATGAACCGTTTGATGGTGATCTTGATGGAGAATAACTTCGTTGATGCATTGGTGGAGGCGATAATGGTGATATCAGAGACAAAACATGTTTTTTCAAATGACGACTTTTAAATCTGCTATGATTTGGATGTAAATCATCGGTTTCCTTCGTTGAACGATCACGATGTTTTCCCATATTATTCAAAACTCAAGAACCTTGAGTCAAGATTTAGATAATATCTAAAGAAGAAAGAGATCATGCACATTCGTTTTACCGTTATAGAAAGAACTGTTAAGAAAGACATAAGAATTTTGGAATCTTAGCCAAGATAGTACACACAGTAATTCGTAAACAAGTAGAGTTCGCAAAACGTTCACTTAAAGTCATCACACATAAACTATGATGAGGCGATACCTAGCAAATAATGTATAACTTTGATAGATGAGTATTTTGGTTCCAAAATGGTGGCAAAAAAATGGAGATTTCGAAGGTACTGGATGGATCCAAAAATGTTAGTCACTAGAATTCTATTGAACAGTTCATTTTTTTCAGACTTAAACTAGAGTAACTCTGCTTCGAAAGATTAACCATAGTTTACCCAATAAATGATAAAAAATCGTTTATATAACAACCTTAATATTTTATGGAAAGTTAGTACTATCATTTTCTTTCTCTTTTAGTTCAAATAAACAGCTCAGACGGCATATAGAAAAAGTTCTTGTAGGAGCTAACGACGTAGACAGAGAGAAGTAGGAAAATATTCAAATTTAGTTGACATCCTATCCATGTGCATCAAAATAATCAAAATAGTTCTGCAAATTTTTATATAGTCGCAAATTATCGGCTTTTGTGGCTTGTATTTTGTTGGATTTTCTACTCGTACATCAATAAACGAGATTAAATCAAATTATCAAACAAATCCCGTATATATAAATATATTGGGTGGTACAGATATAATGTTTGTTTTCTATTCTTCTCTATACAGTCTCAATCTTTTTAGAAGTTTTTTCTGAATGAATGAATGAATGAATTTTATTCACGAAAAGTGAGAGTCATCAAAGGTCATCGACCTATAAAACAATGACTCGAGCCAAACAACAACAAAAGAATCTATAAATAGAAAAAAAAGAATAA